TATTTCAAACAAGGGTAACATAAACTAACCAAAACCTAACTTTCAACAGATATTTTTATTAAAAAGAAAAAATAAACAAATAAAAAGTAAAGGAAAGTTTGTTGTCTGCATAGAGTAGGATCGAATTATTATGTTTATATCTAATTAATTTAATAATAATTACTGATAAATTCCTATCCTGAAGGTATATATAATGAACAATTGCATAAGCCGACTGGAATTACCAGCAACATAATTTTCAATAACAATAAAGTGTATTAAATCAGAGCCAATACCAGATTTTAAATGATTCTGGGACAAAATCGACCCTGAGGTAAACTCGACTAAAATTTAATTGTATCGGTTGAAATGTAAAATTATCACGGAAGTAGACACCGTATAGTACCTAATGCTGTCGAAGGGTGGAATAGTAGACTTACTAAATTATTAATTGTTTTAAAGAAGAAGTCATGTATAATGGTTACTTAACAGATAGAATGTTTCTCAGTTTAGAAGGTAAAAAAGAAATATAAATATCGGAAACCTGAAACAGACACTTTATTTATTTTATCTACAAAACCTTCAATAAGATATATACATTTAACATATACATAAGGAACCCAAAAAAATGAATAAAGCTAAAAACAATGTTATAAAAACGTAAATAACAGAACAGATATTAATTTTTACACATGCCAGTATATATAACATGAACTTCAAGTACCTACGTAGAGATTTGTATATATATAGTGAACTAAAAACAGGTTCGATTTAGTTCCATCTGTTAATTTCACCAGGTAGCCGCGCACTAAATAGAGTCGATTTCGTTTCAGGGTCGATTTTCACTACATTAATTACCATTTTTATCTAAAATATTTAAAAAACATTAAACTTTCGTTTATAAAGCGCGATTCTACCAAGTTCTGTACAGTATTTCTGTCGGGAGTAGAAATGGAAAAGATTGTCTTAATTTTCATAACATTCTCGTTAGTTACGGTATAGCTGTGAAATTAGCTTACAACTAGATTTATTGTGAATTAATTTTTTGTCGTTTTTGCAGGCTTACGTAACTAGAGATTTGTCTGAAATTCCTACAGAACTTCATCAGTTTGCATTCTCTGATGACGTAAAGATTGTGGGAGGGAACGAAGCTGCACCATATTCTTTACCATATCAAGTATGAATATTTATTTACTCAAATCTTCAGCAGATTGTGCTTTTTACGTAATTTGATGTATATTTAGAAAAAATTTGACAGAACGAATGTTTAAAAATATATAAAAAGAACAATTTCTAACTGATAAAAATAAAATAATGTAAAGAATTATTTCTGAAATAGGGATTAATTAATTTGGACATATCACTATTCTGGTAGTAACCTTACATCAATAATTTAACTGTTATTATTATTAGAGAACTAACATACAGTTGATATATCTATTAGTCAATTTACTTCTTAATTAATCTTACCCACTACAGATTACCGGAAGTTAATGAGGAAATATTGTTGTTGCTGCCACTCCTATGCCAGGAATCGAATCCTGACTCCTGGATATACATGTATTAGTACTCTACCACAAGGAGGTAACAGCAGCAACAATTTACCCTCAATAATTTGAGATTATCTGAAGTAGGTAATGTTAATTTACTAATACATTCAATTAACGCTACAAAAATTCAAAGTATTTCATTTGATATTTGATCAAAAATTTTTTTTTTCATTCCTAAATTTTAACTTACCAATTTTGGTTTGGACGGCTCGAAATTTGGGTGTGAGACTTAGGGGGTGTGACATTCTAGGGGGGGAGGCTGTAGGAGTTTTGGGCGACAAAATTTAAGGGTTAAAAGTTACATATGGTGTCAGGCGTGGACAAATTCGCAGTGAACTGCAGGTATGCTACTCTAACGTTTTTATTTATTTAGGTTGCCGTGAACCTTATTTTCGATTATTTCCAAAGTATCTGTGGAGGATCTCTTATTACCCAAAGATACGTGTTAACAGCTGCGCATTGTTTGTACGAAGGGTAAGGCATTTGCTCTATTGTTAACAACATTGTTCAATGCACTTTGCAGCATTTTTCTCTTCATTTCCTTATCAGAGTCATATCGTTGGAAGTATTACTGGGAACGCATAACATTCGACAAAATGAAACTACCCAACAACGCATTCCAACCTCCAATTTCACAATGCATGAAGAGTTTAACAATGATACATTAGAGAACGATTTAGCCATGGTTTATCTTCCAACACCAGCTATTCTCAATCGTAACTACATTTCCTTTACTTCAAATATTCACTATGTCTAATAATTAATCACCAAACATATTAAAATACTAATAAATATTAAAAATACCGGTATGCAAAGGAAGAAAAAGTAGGGAAAAAGCGAATATAAACATAGGAGTCGAAAATTAGAGAAAATAGTTAATTTTGAGTATCTAGGAAGTCAGAAGTCAGGACGGAAGGAGTAGTAGGGATATAAAGCAGAGATTAGCGCAGGGTCGAGTCGCCTTCAATGGAAGAAGTGGCTGATTTTAAGTATTCTAGGAAGTCAGATAAGTCAGGACGAAAGGAGCAGCAGAGATATAAAACAGAACCTTAAACAAAAAGAAGTTACTTCTATGCTCGCGAACGGTTAATTTAGAAATTCGAAAAAGGTTGTTAAAGGTGTATGTTTGGAGCTCGGCGCTGTACGGGTGCAAAACATGGATAGTGTGTGCGGCGGGAAAGAAAAGGTTAGAAGCGTTGGAAAGGTGGTGTTACAGGCGAATGATGAGGATACCGTGAATAGATAAGGTTAGAAATGAAGTGATATTAAAAAAAAATAGGAGAACAGTGGACTCTAAGGAAGTCAATAAGAAATAGGCGAGATAGGTTAGTAGGACAACTTCTCAAACATGAAGGTCTAGTCAGAGACATATTAGAGGCAGAAACGAGAGTTAGGAGGGGTAGTGGTCGATCTAGATTAGATTACTGTTCGCAAATAGTTAAGAATGTGGGATGTTCTAGTTTTAGGAAAATGCGAACCAGTCTTAAGACTGACAATCTTATGATAATGATTTAGAATTCTTTTGTTTTCCCAATTCCTATTTAATACTTATTTATATAAGCACCATTATGGTTTGGCGTTGGATAGTGAGAAGTGTATTTTCAAGCGGGTGGAGGCGGGGGATCGAAAGAGAGTGGTCACTTGAACAAAACCTGATAACCTAACCTAACCTACCCTATTGATAAAGCTATTTAAATAATGTTTTATATAACTTTCTCAATATTTTTATGTATTTTTCATTAGTTTTACCTTTGAATATTGTTTAAGAATGACTATATAAATATTTACATGCCTAGAAATGTATAAAAATTGGCATATTTATTAACTTTGAACCCC